CCCTTCCCTTCCTCCCTTCCTTCCATGTACCCTCTCTTTTTTTCCACCCACCCACCCCTCCCTTCCTTCCACCCACCCCTCTCTCCCTTCTTTCCACCCTTCCCTTCCTTCCTTCCACCCTTCCCTCCCTTCCTTCCTTCCTTCCTTCCTTCCTTCCTCCCTTCCTTCCTCCCTTCCTTCCATGTACCCTCTCTTTTTTCCACCCAGCCATCCCTCCCTTCCTCCCTTCCTTCCACCCACCCCTCCTTTTGTTCTTTGCTTTCTTCCTTCCCTCCACCAACTCCTCCTTTCCTTCCTTCCACCCACCCTCCTTCCCTTCCTTCCACCCACCCCTTCTTTCCTTCCTTCCAGCCACCCCTCCCCACCTTCCTGCCACTCCTCCTTTCCTCCCTTTTTTCCACACTGGTTTGCGGCGTTTTACCACATTTTGCCGTGTTAGAGCGTTTTTACAGCTAACAAACTCTAGAAACCCACTAGTCTTGGGTTTTTTTCCAGCCAAAAAACATTGATTCCAGTCTATGTGTGTTTGGACACCTAGGATAACTTGCTGGGGGTTTACTAGCTGTAGAAAAAAATTTTTAAAAAACGTCAAAAGCCAAAAAACAGCCGCTGTAAAAATGTCCCGTGTGCGTGAGGACTAAACTTTACGAAAACATGAATGTAAAATATTGCATGTCAAGGATATGGAGTTATATATCTACCACTCAAAAAAACTACCAAAAAATCTGCCAATAACTGGGCCTATCATACGAATGGATAATACTAATCAAAAACAACGACATCCCTGCATATGGACACAGATGTCAATCCTTTTACAAACACATCTAAAAACTACCTAAAACAGCGGTTCTCAACCTGGGGGTCGCGACCCCTTTGGGGGTCGAACGACCATTTCCCAGGGGTCGCCTAAGACCATCGGAAAACACATATTTCCGATGGTCTTAGGAACCGAGACACCGCTGCTCTGTCTCGCGATCTGTGGGCGGGATGATATGTGCCCCTGTAACCTGGCCACACCTCCGGGATCACTCAACAGCTCCGCCTCCTCGCCGCTGATTGGCCACCGGAACTGTAGCTCAGGAGAGGCACACAGGCGGCCAATCACCGGCGAGGAGGTGGAGCTGGAGAGGAGGAGGAGCCGAGCGGCAGAGCACGCAGATCGAAGAAGATCGAGGGAGCTGCAGGACCGAGTGAAGAGGAGAGAGGCCAGAGAAGGAAGACAGCTGACAAGTAAGTGCAAATTTTGCTTCTGCAGGCTGTAGATGGGAGAGGGAGAGAGCGAGCCCAGGCTGGAACAGGGGTCAGCAAGGTAAGTATCATTGGTGTCAGTGGGAGGAATAGTGCCCTATCATTTGTGTCACTAATACCAACGATGGGGCACTATTCCTCCCCCCACTGACACCAACGATGGGGCACTATTCCTCCCCCCACTGACACCAACGATGGGGCACTATTCCTCCCACTGACACCAACGATGGGGCACTATTCCTCCCACTGACACCAACGATGGGGCACGATTCCTCCCACTGACACCAACGATGGGGCACTATTCCTCCCCCCACTGACACCAACGATGGGGCACTATTCCTCCCCCCACTGACACCAACGATGGGGCACTATTCCTCCCCCCCACTGACACCAACGATGGGGCACTATTCCTCCCCCCACTGACACCAACGATGGGGCACTATTCCTCCCCCCACTGACACCAACGATGGGGCACTATTCCTCCCCCCACTGACACCAATGATAGGCACTATTCCTCCCCCCACTGACACCAACGATGCGGCACTATTCCTCCCACTGACACCAACGATGGGGCACTATTCCTCCCACTGGCACCAATGATAGGCACTATTCCTCCCCCCACTGACACCAACGATAGGCACTATTCCTCCCCCCACTGACACCAACGATGGGGCACTATTCCTCCCCCACTGACACCAACGATGGGGCACTATTCCTCCCCCCACTGACACCAACGATGGGGCACTATTCCTCCCCCCACTGACACCAACGATGGGGCACTATTCCTCCCCCCACTGACACCAACGATGGGGCACTATTCCTCCCCCCACTGACACCAATGATAGGCACTATTCCTCCCCCCACTGACACCAACGATGGGGCACTATTCCTCCCCCCACTGACACCAATGATAGGCACTATTCCTCCCACTGACACCAATGATGGGGCACTATTCCTCCCCCCCACTGATACCAATGATGGGGCACTATTCCTCCCACTGATACCAATGATGGGGCACTATTCCTCCCACTGATACCAACGATGGGGCACTATTCCTCCCAATGACACCAATGATGGGGCACTATTCCTCCCACTGACACCAATGATGGGGCACTATTCCTGCCACTGACACCAATGATGGGGCACTATTCCTCCCACTGACATCAATGATGGGACACTATTCCTCCCACTGATACCAATGATGGGGCACTATTCCTCCCACTGACACCAATGATGGGACACTATTCCTCCCACTGACACCAATGATGGAGCACTATTCCCCCCACTGACACCAATGATGGGGCACTATTCCTCCCACTGACACCAATGATGGGGCACTATTCCTCCCACTGATACCAATGATGGGGCACTATTCCTCCCACTGACACCAACGATGGGGCACTATTCCTCCCACTGACACCAATGATGGGGCACTATTCCTCCCACTGATACCAATGATGGGGCACTATTCCTCCCACTGACACCAATGATGGGGCACTATTCCTCCCACTGACACCAATGATGGGGCACTATTCCTCCCACTGACACCAATGGCGGGACACTATTCCTCCCACTGATACCAACGATGGGACACTATTCCTCCCACTGATACCAATGATGGGGCACTATTCCTCCCACTGATACCAATGATGGGGCACTATTCCTCCACTGACACCAATGGCGGGACACTATTCCTCCCACTGACATCAGTGATGGGGCACTATTCCTCCCACTGACACCAATGGGGCACTATTCCTCCCACTGATACCAATGATGGGGCACTATTCCTCCCACTGATACCAACGATGGGACACTATTCCTCCCACTGATACCAACGATGGGACACTATTCCTCCCACTGATACCAATGATGGGGCACTATTCCTCCCACTGCAAAATTACAGTTCTGAAGTAGCAACGAAAATAATTTTATGGTTGGGGGTCACCACAACATGAGGAACTGTATTAAGGGGTCGCGGCGTTAGAAAGGTTGAGAACCACTGACCTAAAATGTAAATCTATGTGCCTAATACAGCATATAAACCCACATTCTTATTAGAATAACTGACAAAAAAAACACCGACCTCTAGTGGACAATGTGCTAACTGCCACCCCATCAGTGAATATACACTCTCCGGCCACTTTATTAGGTCCACTTGTTCAATTGCTTGGTAACACAAATTGCTAATCAGCCAATCACACGGCAACAACTTAATGCATCTAGACGTGGTGAAGACGACTTTCTGAATTTCAAACCGAGCTTCAGAATGGGGAGGAAATGGGATTTAATTGGCTTTGGACGTGGCATGGTTGTTGGGGCCAGACGGGCTGATCTGAGAAGTTCAAAAAAACTGCTGATCTACTGGGATTTTCACCCACAACCATGGCATAAAAAACCAGCCTGAACAAAAAAAATGGCGTGGGATTTGTCGGGGGATCCAAAAGAAATGTAACTATTTTACCCCCTAGTGCGGGGGGCATACTTATAAACTAATTTCGGTTCCTCTGGCAAAACACTCGCCAACTGCTTACCATCTTTATGGATAGTCCAATGTTTCTCGATAATCCCCTCCAGTTTTTTATGTTGGTGTCCAACACAAGAACTGTCTGCTTGTTCCCTTCAACTACCGCAGTAAAAAGATTTCATCTAAAATGCCTGGTCTGAAGTCCCTCAAGGGGTGCATTTAACCACTTCCTGCCAGTGTTTTTGGACTTTTTTTTACCAAAAAAAAACCCCATTTTTTTTGGTAAAAACACAAACATGGAAAAATGCCGCTAAACATGGGAAACTGCTGCAAAACGCCACTAAACACTAATGCAAAAACGTAAATAAAATGTAAAATGACTGCCGGGAGAGCCTCTCGTTCCTCCGGGAGGACGTCATATGATGTCCTTCCTGGATCGCACCTTGTGCGTGCCCACAGAGCCGCGCTGTTGTGAGATCTATCACCGGCCATGTATCTTGGACACAGCCAATGACAGATCTGTGTACCAGCCCCATTGCCAATGCCATGTGACCTGCTGTGACCAATCACAGCAGGTCACATGACAGTTGTATACAAAGGATGGCTTCCTTTCATGCCATCCATTGTATACAAGGGTGTCTTGCTGTGAATGGTCACAGTGATCACATGCACAGGCTGGCCCAATCACGGCTCATCTGTGTCATGTGATTAGCCATGGCCAATCACAGCTAATCACAACAAAAAAACCTAAATGAAATGATTTTATTCAATTAAATGCTTGCTTATAGCAAAGAAATTCTTTGCTATAAGCAATCAAATTGTGTACAGAAAAAAAAATAATACTGATCACTTCCCCAAAGTAGTACAATGTTACTATGGTAACATTATACTACTTTGGTCTTAGTGAAATATTAAAAACAAAATCTTTAAAAAAGAGAAAAAAATGTATTAAAAAATAAAAAAAAGATAAAAAAAATAAAATAAAATTTAAAAAAAATTAACGTTTTTTTTTTTTTTTTCGTACTGTCACCAGTCAGTGTCCCTGATCACTGCAACACCAGTTATATGATGACGCTGTACTGCACTGGTGACAGTATGTAAAAAAAATTGTGAAAATAATTTATTTAATTTCTTAATATTCCAAAAAATTATGACAAAAAAAATTACAACTTCAAAAAACTCGCCATGCTTGTTATGAAATACGTCGGACTGTCTACTTTGCAAAAAGGGGTAATTTGGGGGATATCTGTACTGTCCTGACATTTGGGGGATATCTGTACCGTCCTGACATTTGGGGGATATCTGTACCGTCCTGACATTTGGGGGATTTCTGTACTGTTCTGACATTTGGGGGGATATCTGTCCGTCCTGACATTTGGGGGGGATATCTGTACTGTCCTGACATTTGGGGGATATCTGCACTGTCCTGACATTTGGGGGATGTACCGTCCTGACATTTGGGGGATATCTGTACCGTCCTGACATTTGGGGGGGATATCTGTACCACCCTGACATTTGGGGGATATCTGTACCGTCCTTTGATATTGTGTCCTGACATTTGATATCTGTACTGTCCTGACATTTGGGGGGGATATCTGTCCTGTTCTGACATTTGGGGGGATATCTGTACTGTCCTGACATTTGGGGGATATCTGTACCGTCCTGACATTTGGGGGATATCTGTACTGTCCCTGACATTTGGGGGATATCTGTACTGTCCTGACATTTGGGGGATTCTGTACTGTTCTGACATTTGGGGGGATATCTGTACTGTCCTGACATTTGGGGGATATCTGTACTGTCCTGACATTTGGGGGATATCTGTACTGTTCTGACATTTGGGGGATATCTGTACCGTCCTGACATTTGGGGGATATCTGTACTGTCCTGACATTTGGGGGATATCTGTACTGTCCTGATATTTGGGGGATATCTGTACTGTCCTGACATTTGGGGGATATCTGTACCGTCCTGACATTTGGGGGATATCTGTACTGTCCTGACATTTGGGGGATATCTGTACTGTCCTGACATTTGGGGGATATCTGTACTGTTCGGACATTTTTGGACCTCAAGAAATTTGATTGGCCATCAGTACTTCAGGATTGGTCAATTTTCAGATATATACCATAGTTTGTGAACTCTATAACTTTCCTACAGACTAAATAATAAATCCTAATTTGGGTTATTTTCCACCAAAGACATGGAGCAGAATACATCTCGGCCTAAATTTATGAAGAACAATTATTTATTTGTAAACTTTTATAACAGAAACAAAGAAAAATGTGGGGTTTTTTTCAAATTTTTTTTTGTTAAAGGTCAGGAAGGAACAGTATTAGAGGGTCAGGAGGGAACAGTATAGGGTGGCCAGGAGAGAAAAGTATGGGGGAAGCAGATAGGGAACGGTATAGGGGGGCTAAGAGAGAGAAGTATATGGGAGCCAGGAAGGAACAGTATTGGGGTCAGGGTCAGGAGAGAACAGTTTAGGGGGGTCAGGAGAGAACAGTTTAGGGGGGTAAGGAGGAGAGAACAGTTTAGGGGGGTAAGGAGAGAACAGTTTAGGGGGGTCAGGAGAGAACAGTTTAGGGGGGTGTTAGGAGAGAACAGTTTAGGGGGGTCAGGAGGGAACAGTATAGAAGGGTCAGGAGAGAACAGTTTAGGGGGGTCAGGAGAGAACAGTTTAGGGGGGTCAGGAGGGAACAGTATAGGGTGGCCAGAAGAACACAGCACAGTACAAGGGGGACAGGAGGGAATAGTATGGGGGAGCCAGAAAAAAACTGTATGGGCAGGGAAGGAAGGAAGAGTACAGGGAGGAGAGAAGGAAATTTGGGACCGCCAGGAGGGAACAGTATAGGTTTCACTGCATTCACTATATCCGCTCTCCCCAGACCCGGCATTCACTATATCCGGTCTCCCCGGACTCCGCATTCACTATACCCGCTCTCCCCAGACCCCGCATTCACTATATCCGGTCTCCCCGGACTCCGCATTCACTATATCCACTCTCCCTGGACCCCGCATTCACTATATCCGGTCTCCCCAGACCCCGCATTCACTATATCCACTCTCCCCGGACCTCGCATTCACTACACCCGCTCTCCCCGGTCCCCGCATTCACTATATCCGCTCTCCCCAGACCCGGCATTCACTATATCCGCTCTCCCCGGACCTCGCATTCACTATATCTGCTCTCCCCGGACCCCGCATTCACTATATCCGCTCTCCCCGGACCCCGCATTCACTATATCCAGTCTCCCCGGACCCCGCATTCACTATATCCACTTTCCCCGGACCCCGCATTCACTATATCCGCTCTTCCCGGACCCCGCATTCACTATATCCGCTCTCCCCGGACCCGGCATTCACTATATCCGCTCTCCCCGGACCCTGCATTCACTATATCCGCTCTCCCCGGACCCCGCATTCACTATATCTGCTCTCCCCGGACCCCGCATTCACTATATCCGCTCTCCCCGGACCCCGCATTCACTATATCCGGTCTCCCCCGGACCCCGCATTCACTATATCCGCTCTCCCCGGACCCCACATTCACTATATCCGCTCTCCCCGGACCCCGCATTCACTATGTCCGCTCTCCCCGGACCCCGCATTCACTATATCCAGTCTCCCCGGACCCCGCATTCACTATATCCACTTTCCCCGGACCCCGCATTCACTTTCTCCCCGGACCCCGCATTCACTATATCCGCTCTCCCCGGACCCCGCATTCACTATATCCGCTCTCCCCGGACCCCGCATTCACTATATCCGCTCTCCCCCAGACCCCGCATTCACTATATCCGCTCTCCCCGGACCCTGCATTCACTATATCCGCTCTCCCCGGACCCTGCATTCACTATATCCGGTCTCCCCGGACCCCCCACTCACTATATCCGCTCTCCCCGGACCCCGCATTCACTATATCCGGTCTCCCTGGACCTCGCATTCACTATATCCAGTCTCCCCGGACCCCGCATTCACTATATCCGCTCTCCCCGGACCCCGCATTCACTATATCTGCTCTCCCCGGACCCCGCATTTACTATATCCGCTCTCCCCGGACCCCACATTCACTATATTCGCTCTCCCTGGACCCCGAATTCACTATATCTGGCCCCCCACAGTACACAGAACATGGAAATGTAACTATTTTTGTAAATATAAACCGCTAAATCCATTTTCACATTAGTACATTCCCAGCAGTATATAACAGTCATGTGACTTCTATCAGTGTCCAGCACAGCACTGGTTAAATCTTGTAGGAGAAGTTTTCATTCTCCTCTGACTGTCCTATGATACTGCATGACCCCTTACCCTCTGTCTGGACAGTGCTGATTCTGTCTCTAGCCATACACACCAAACTGAGCATGCACAGAATGCCCCCAAGGCTCTGTTCAGCAGTAGAAAAAGGGGACAGTAGAAAAAGGGGAGGATCATAGAATACAGGATCAGACAGCCTTTTTACACAATGCAGAGGATTAACCCCTTAGGTTCCACAGGGAGTATAACAAGCATGCTTTACTGCATCTACAGACTGATTGTACTGGTGTGGGTTTAGTAACACTCAGTGTCATTTCTGTCTGCTGCCTCGTTCCTCAGCTATCACATATGACATGTTTTCCTGACACCCAGTGATGCCGAAAGGGGGGTACCACCAGTCCTCCTTTAGGGGGCCCGGGCATACAGGGGGTTCTGGACAGTGGGGGGTGGGGAGGGTAGCAATTGCAGAACGATGCCCTGTGCGGCTCTCTGCAGCAGCTGAAAACTGGCTTCTCCCCCTCTCCCTCCCACCGGCTTTCAGCTGCTGGAGGGATAGGCACAGACCAGTGTTGCCAACCAATGGCGCTGCTTATCTGAGTGTGAGGGCGTGACTGCTGATGAGTTGCTCCGCCTCAAATCTGATACATTCCACGCAAAACCCCAAAAATGGACTGGACAAAATTATTGGCACCCTCCATGTAATATTTGGTAGCACACCCCTTGGAAAGAATTACTGAAGTCAATGGCTTCCTGGAACCATCAATGAGTTTCTTCCACCTCTCTACTGGACTTTTGGATCGCTCTTCTTCCTCCAACTGCTCCGGGTCTCTCAGATTGGAAGGTTCCTCTTCCCAACTGCTGTTCTGAGATCTCTCCACAGGAGCTCTGTGGGATGGAGCTCTGGACTCATCGCTGGCCAGTTCAGTCCTCTCCAGTGCTTTGTCTGACACCATTTCTGGGGGCTTTTTGATGTGTACTTTGGGGTCATTGTCCTGCTGGAAGACCCATGACCTCTGATGGAGACCCAACTTTCTGACACCGGGACCCCAGAATTCTTTGATAGTCTTCAGATTTCATAATGCCATGCACACATCCAAGGCATCCCCTGTCTGAAGCAGCAAAGCCACCCCAAAACATCAGTGACCCCCCCCCACCATGTGTGGGACTGTGACCCCCCCACCATGTGTGACTGGAGGGACTGTGACCCCCCCCACCATGTGTGACTGGAGGGACTGTGACCCCCCCCCACCATGTGTGACTGGAGGGACTGTGACCCCCCCACCATGTGTGACTGGAGGAACTGTGACCCCCCTCCATGTGTGACTGGAGGGACTGGATTCTTTTCTTTAACCACCTGACCTCCAGAGGATTTACCCCCCTTAATGACCACGCCTCTTTTTGCTACTCGGCGCTGCACTAATTCAACTGATAATTGCGCGGTCATGCAATGCTGCACCCAAACGAAATTTACGTCCTTTTTTTCACACAAATAGAGCTTTCTTTCGGTGTAATTTGATCACCTGTGCGCTTTTTATTTTTTTTCACGCTATAAACAAAAAAAGGCCAAAAATTTTGAAGAAAAACAATATTTTTTATTTTCAGCTATAAAAAATATATAGTAAACTCAAAGTTGGTTATAAATTTAGGCCAAAATGTATTCTGCTCCATGTTTTTGGTAAAAAAAATCCCAATAAGTGTATATTGATTGCTTTGTGTGAAGTTATAGCGTCTACAAACTATGGGATAGATACTGCAATTTACGCCATTTTTCTGCTATACAGCGCTGTGCTAGTTTAATGGACAATTGCGCGGTCATGCAATACAGTACATAAATGAAATTTACATCCTTTTTTTTCCCCCCACAAATTGAGCTTTCTTTCGGTGGTATTTGATCGCCTGTGCGGTTTTTATTTTTTGCGCTATAAAAAAAAAGGCTGACAATTTTGAGGAAAAAAAAAAACAATATTTTGGACTTTTTGCTATAAAACATGTCCAGTAAAAAAAAAAATGCAAAAATCAAATTTAGTCATAAATTTCTGCCAAAATGCATTCTGTGACATGTCTTTGCTAAAAAAAATCCCAATACGTGTTAAATTAATTAATTTACGTGAAAGTTATAGCGTTTATAAATGGCGGGAAAGATACTGGGATTTTTAGGGTTTTTTTTATACTAATAATGGCGGCGATCAGGGACTTATGGCGGGACTGCGGCGGACATTCTGACATTGGGGGGTACTGACTTGGGGTCACTGACATCCCCAGTGACACCAATACAGTGATCAGTGCAAAAAGAAAAACACTGACACTGTACTAATGGCACTCGGGAGGAAGGGGTTAACTTTATTTTGCAGGGAAGGGTTATAGGAGTGAGGGGAGTGTTTTACTAGGGGGGGGGGGGGGGTGTGCTGCACGGGACATCGCTGATCATCGCTGATCTGTTCTTCGTCCTCGAGCTGTCAGGGAAGGGACAGAAAGCACAGCTACTGCAGCTGTGCTGTCTGTCACTGTTTGCCGCCGATCACCGGGAAACAGCCGGTGAGGACCGGCTGTGACCCGGCGACTGACATCCGCGGTGGTGATCGGCGGGACAGGTAGGGCGGCGGTGTGCCTCGCGCGTGCCTCCTATCTGTTTACAAAACACACATTTTAAAACGTGGTTTTGCCTGCCCGTGCTGCCCTGCCGCCGTATTTCTACAGTGGCAGGGCGGCAAGTGGTTAAAGGCCTCATTGCTTTTTCTGAAAACAGTAGAATGATGGGCTTTACCAAAAAGCTGTCATTTTGTTCCGTCCTTCCACAGCACATTCTGCCAGAAGAGTTTTGTCTTTCCTCAGGTAAGTTTTGGTAAACTCCAATCTGACTTCCAATATGTCTCTGTGTCAGCGGTGGGGTCCTCTGGGTCTCCTACCATATCTCTGTGTCAGCGGTGGGGTCCTCCTGGGTCTCCTACCATATCTCTGTGTCAGCGGTGGGGTCCTCTTGGGTCTCCTACCATATCTCTGTGTCAGCGGTGGGGTCCTCCTGGGTCTCCTACATATTTCTGTGTCAGCGGTGGGTCCTCCTGGGTCTCCTACCATATCTCTGTGTCAGCGGTGGGGTCCTCCTGGGTCTCCTACCATATCTCTGTGTCAGCGGTGGGGTCCTCCTGGGTCTCCTACCATATCTCTGTGTCAGCGGGGGGTCCTCCTGGGTCTCCTACCATATCTCTGTGTCAGCGGTGGGGTCCTCCTGGGTCTCCTACCATATCTCTGTGTCAGCGGTGGGGTCCTCTTGGGTCTCCTACCATATCTCTGTGTCAGCGGTGGGGTCCTCTTGGGTCTCCTACCATATCTCTGTGTCAGCGGTGGGGTCCTCCTGGGTCTCCTACCATATCTCTGTGTCAGCGGTGGGTCCTCCTGGGTCTCCTACCATATCTCTGTGTCAGCGGTGGGGTCCTCCTGGGTCTCCTACCATATTTCTGTGTCAGCAGTGGGATCCTCCTGGGTGTCCTACCATATTTCTGTGTCAGCGGTGGGGTCCTCTTGGGTCTCCTTCCATATTCTGTGTCAGCGGTGGGGGTCCTCCTGGGTCTCCTACCATATCTCTGTGTCAGCGGTGGGATCCTCCTGGGTGTCCTACCATATCTCTGTGTCAGTGGTGGGGTCCTCCTGGGTCTCCTACCATATCTCTGTGTCAGCGGTGGGGTCCTCCTGGGTCTCCTCCTACCATATTTCTGTGGCAGCGGTGGGGTCCTCCTGGGTCTCCTACCATATCTCTGTGTCAGCAGGTGGGGTCCTCCTGGGTCTCCTACCATATTTCTGTGTCAGCGGTGGGGTCCTCCTGGGTCTCCTACCATATATCTGTGTCAGCGGTGGGGTCCTCCTGGGTCTCCTACCATATTTCTGTGTCAGCGGTGGGGTCCTCCCGGGTCTCCTATCATATTTCTGTGTCAGCAGTGGGGTCCTCCTGGGTCTCCTACCATATTTCTGTGTCAGCAGATTGTCCTCCTGGGTCTCCTGCATATTTCTGTGTCAGCAGTGAGGTCCTCCTGGGTCTCCTACCATAGCATCCCTTTTCATTCAGATGGTGAATATAGTGCGAGCTGATGCAGGTGTACCGTGCCTGAAGGTCAGCTGGAATTTGTCTGGAAGTTGATGGAGGTTCTTCAGCCACCATTGCAACAATCCTTCATTGCAATCTTTGATCGATTTTCCTCTTTCATCCACATCCAGGGAGATTAGCTCCAGTGCCATGGGCTGTAAACTTCTTGACAATGTTGCGCACAGTGGACACAGGAACATTAATATCTCTGGAGATGGACTTGTAATCTTTAGGTTGTCCATGCTTTTGCACATTTTTGTTCTCCAATCCTCAGACAATTTTTTGTTGCTCTTTCTCTTCTCCATGCTCCATGTGGCACACAGAGACACCCAACAGAAAGGTGGAGGCCATTTGTCACCATTGTCCCCGGTTGTCGGAGTGATTTCTATATGGTCAGCACCTGGTCATGGATACGGGGAGTTTATTACAAATTACAGGAACATCACAGACTTGGAATGCAGTTATTTCTACCAATAGTTCTGTCCGGTCCATTTTTGGGGTTCTGGGTTGAATGCGTCTGATTT